AGCAGCCGCAGCAGCAGCCACAGCAGCCGCAGCAGCAGCCACAGCCACAGCCGCAGCCACAGGTGCCACCAGTGGCTCAGCCACAGGCACAGGGCCAGCCCCCGGGGCTGGGGATGCAGGCACTACCTCCTCAGCAGCCCATTGTAAGTGCTGGCACATGCCCCCCATGACCCCCTCCTGCCTGCTGTGTCCAGGCAAGACCCCTGGCCCTGCATGACTCACCCTTCTCTCTCTCTAGTTCCAGCGCCAAGGCCTCCAGCAGACACAGCAACAGCAGCAGACGGCTGCGCTGGTCCGACAGCTTCAGCAGCAGCTCTCCAGTAAGATTTAGCTTCCCAGGCCCCTCCTCTACCCTTGTCCCTGCCCCTGCCTAGTGCCCTGTTCCTGGAAGTGGTGCGCTGCATGGGGATCACAAGTGCAGGCTGGGTCCCAGGTCTGTCTGGGTGCCGCAGGTGTTTACAGAGGCTAGGCTGCTGCAGAGAGGGCCTGGGCTGTCTGTGCAGGGCAGCTCTCCCAGAGGGGTCAGAGCTGCCTCCCTTGGGGTCTCACTAAGTGGCGGCTGCCTCGGCACTTGTTGGCTTCTGCTGGGAATGGGTTGTCCTGCCGGCTAGAGCACTCCTGTCTGTGGCCTGCTCAGCATGAGACCTCCTTGCTGGCGCTGCCCCGCAGGTGGCCGAGCCCTGCAGGTGCAAGGCAGCCCCCAAGCTCCTTGCTTGTCTAGGTGCAGTGCCAGTGATTTGATCTCATGAGAACAGCTGTGCACCTGCTTGACGTGAGCCACATCCTACAGGGAGGCCGTGCACAAGCCAGAGCACGCTGCCCTCATCCCAGGTGGACTTCCCCTTCAGCGGGGCCCAGCCTGCCCTGAACCCTCTTCCCCATCACCACATCTCTGTGCAAGCAGCCAAGCAGATGGCAACTCCATACCATGTTCAATACCATGCAGCCGGCACACGGATGCCACTCTTGAGGGTGGGACAGGGCTCAGACAGCAAGCACAGGCAGGGCATGCAGGTGCCTGGTCATGGGCCTTCTGCTCCTGGCCCCACTCTCTGACCTGGGCCACGGCAGGGGGTGGATGGGGCACCCTCAGCTGCAGCTGCTGAGCGGGGGTGGAGGCTGCCCTGCTCCACTCAGCGCTGGCTAGCTTGCCATGGTCCAGGCCCTGGCGGGTCGGCTGTGGACTCTCGTGTTCTGGCCCTTCCCGGCCAGCCTGTCCCAGAGGTAGGTGCGTGGTTCTGGGGCAGACCCGAGCTGGTCGGGAAGACCCCCTTCGTTTGTGGGGAGCATGGAGAGGGGGGCTCTAAGGTAGCAAGGAGGGCACCGGGGCAAGCAGCTTGGTGCCCCTGAGCTGTGCACCCCGGGCTCCCGAGCTCCATGGGGCAGCCCCAAGCATCAGAGTTGGAGTTCAAGCACGTGTCCGGGGCCTGCAGCTGTGCTGGCCTCCAGGCTTCCTGGCAGTGGTGCCCAGGGGCACGAGGCTCACGGGTACAGCTCCCACCCACGGCAGCTGCCTTCTGCGCCTGGTGCCATCATGCTGACTTGGGAGCTGGGCTACTGAGCCCCAGGCCCCCTGCCCTCCCAGGTCAGGACCTACGTGACCCTCTGACCGTCTGATCCACAGATACGCAGCCCCAGCAGAGCAACAACCCCTTCGGACGCTACTGAGCCACAGCCCTGGCTCGGGACGGGGACGGGGCCGGGGCCGGGCGCGCCGCGTAGGGCGGAGGTTTGTACTGCGGCGCGCCATGGCGCCCGGGCCGCGCCTGGCCAAGCCTCCCTCCCACCTGGTTTCAGTTTTTACTGAGTTTTTAGTATTTTTGGTAAAGCGATGACCAAGACATTGTAAAATTTTGTACTTTATTTATACCGGATGGAGCCTGTACTGCAGACGTCTCGACAAATACAGAGCTTACTTTGCAGCCGTCGTGTCCTGAGCCAGGGACCCCTTCGTCACTGCCGCCGGCGCACCGGTGCGCCCTGCTCCGGGCCCGCCCGCCCGGC